ATAATGTCGGTTAGGCCTTGCCATAGACAGAGGGAGTCTGTTTGGTAGGTCTGGGCCTCTAACTTGGTCCGGTACTGCTTCTTGGCCTCCTGGATGGATTTGCAGAGGTCATATTTGGATTTTCTGTATTGGTCAGGGTCACCTGACTTGGAAGCTGCACATATGGTCTTCCGTAGGGAGTGGATTTCCTAGTTCATCCAAGGTTTATGGTTGGGGAATACTTGGATTGACTTCTTTGGTACACAGTCCTCCACACATTTGCTAATGAAGTCCGTGACAGTGGTGGCATACTTGTCTAGTTGCAGTCTACTGAGTTGAAACAGTCCTGGAGACAGTCTTCTGCTGCCTCGGACCAGCACTGTACTTTGTTTCATGAAAGATTCTCCCATTTCAGCTTCTGCTTGTAACCTAGGAAGAGGAACACAGCACTGTGGTCGGATTTTCCTAAGTGTGGGCGGGATACTGAGCAATAGATGTCTTTGATGGTTGTGTAGCAGTGGTCCAGAATATTCTGTCCCCTGGTGAAGCAGGAGATGTTTTGGTGGTATTTTGGCATCACCTGCTTGAGGTTGGCTTGGTTGAAGTCACAGGCCACAATGAATAGAACCTCAGGGAATTTTGTCTCTAGAGTTTTTGTGGTGGCGTAAGTCTTATCCAGGCATTCTTCACATCCGTATGGGGTGGAATGTAGACTGTCAGGATTGTGGCAGTGAACTCTCGTGGTAGGTAGTAGCGATGGCATTTTACTGTAAGGTATTCTAGGTCCGAGGAGTAGTGGCTTGTCAGGGTCACTACGTGTAAGCATCAGGGAGTGTTGATCCGGAAGCATACCCCACCGCCCTTCACCTTGCCCGAGGATGTCGTGCAGTGTATGGAGAACCCGCGAGCTTGTACGGCACAGTCGGGAATGGCAGAGGTGAGCCAAGTCTCCGTAAAGCAGAGCGCACAACAGTCTCTCAGTTCCCTCTGGTAGTTAAGTCTAGATCTAAGTTCATCCATTTTGTTTTCGATACTTTGGACATTTGCTAGAAGTATACTGTTTCAGTGACTCCAAGTTCATGTGGTGACATTGCTAACTGGGATCTATACTTCTTGCAGTGTTCAGATATAAAGGATGCAGTTTTTGTCACAATCCAGCTGTAACTTCTGTAACCTGTGCCTTTGGAAGGTTGGGCACTAATATACTGCATGCACTGGTGATCTCACCTGGCACCCAGTGCTCAGTTCATGATGTGAATAGCCCAGAGCATTTTGTGAGGGTTCAGTTAATGTTTTCCATGATACCTAAAGAGTAGGCATTGTGCACAATGTGGCACTGACCTTTCACCCCAATACTTTAAAGCAGCCTGCATTGCTGTCCTGTGAAGTGACTGTCCAAATCTCACTCCACCATCTGCATTAGTTCCCATTGAGAGAACGCTTCCCAAACCAGGGTCCTGGCAATTCACAATACAGTGGCTCCTTTACAAGGAATATCTTCCAACTACTTGGTGAAATTGCCCCTTCAAACAACTTGTTAATTTTTTTTGTGGTAGGCGCAGGAGTGGAGAATGAAATCCATCTGAACTCACTGCGAGGGTCCCTTTCTATCCCTAGTGTAACCTAATTTGTGAACATAACACAATGGTGAAGATTAGGACTGTTGGCTGCACATACCAAACAGGTTTTACAGCCGGATCCCAAACCACCAAGCCACAATGTATCCGCCTTCCAATTCCCCTCTCATGTAGGGTTCGATTTAGAATAAACCTTACAGTTGTGGATGTAATTATCCTTGCCAGCCCCTTTCCCAGTTCTGATGAAGGGTCCCGACCCAAAATGTCGACTTTCCTGCTCCTCTTCTGCTGCCTGACCTGTTGAGTTCCTCCAGCTCCACACTGTGTTGATTCTGACTCGAGCATCTGCAATTCTTGCTATCTCTGAGCCCCTTTTCCAACCATTTGGAGAATAGTCTCCGGACGGGGCCAACCACCCCCACAGTTCCAAAATGCCAAACATTCAGTCACAGCATTGTGAGTAAATCTGGAGTCAAAGCAGTTTGTACAGGGGAAGAACATTTCTGCCAGCCAGTAACCTCACAAGTCACAACAGCCAGCTGCGCCTACTGGGCTCTGAGTGGGGAAAAGTAATTTTATAACCAATGTGATGTTTTGGAGTGTGTCATAGCTCCCATAACCTGTCTTTCATTCTGCATGTTCCATCCTAGTAAACATCTCGCCCTTCATGATAAATTCCTGCACAGAAATCCATTCTCCTTCAGTCACCCAGAATGTGTGGACATAGGGCTCCCCTGACTAGCTGAAGTTAGATAGCCAAGGTTCAGCATCTTGATCTTTAGGGCACTGCTTTGCAACAAAAAGGCCCACCAAGCCAGTGGAGACAGCCCCTCGAGTAATGGTCAGTTAGTGGTATGATAGGTGATATGTGAGTGTCAGTGTGTGTGAAAAAGTCAGCAGATGGTGATCACCTCCTGAACGTTGTTTCTCAGTGAGAACCCTGCACGTGCATGCTACTGGCGGACCATGTGCCTTCACCACATTTCTGCAACATGGCCTGGTGGTGGTGAACTGCCTCCTTGAATCCTGTAGTCTTTGGGGTATAAGGACACCCACAATGTTGTTTGCAAGGGGATTCCAGCTTCAGTGAAGGAATGGTGATGTAGTTCCAAGTCAGAATGGTGTGGAGCTTGGAGGAGAAGTTGCATGAGGTGGTGTTCCCATGCATTCGCTATGCTGTCCTTCCAGATGGCAGTAATGATGATTTTAGAAGATACTTTGGGAAGGAGCCTTGGTGAGTGACTGTAGTTCATGTTGTGGATGCTAGACACTGCTACTACTGTAACTTAGTGATAAAGGGAGAGAGAGTTGGATGTAATAGACCCGAAACGTCAGCTTTCTTGCCCCTCTGATGCTGCCTGGCTTGCTGTGTTCATCCAGCTCTACATCTTGTTATCTCAGACTCCAGCATCAGCAGTTCCTACTATCTCTGAGAGAATTGGATGTGGTAGATGGGATGGTGCATCTCTGGTGCCAAGGTCAAGGATATCTCGGAATGACTAAAGGGTAATGGTACAGAGTCAGTGGTTGTGTTCATACAGGTATCAGTGACATAGATTTACAAAATGGGATGTCCTACAAGAAGAATAAAGGAAGTTAGAACATAAAGTAAAAAGTAGGACCTAAAAGATAGTAATCACAGGATAACTGCCAGTGCCATTTTATATACAAAGAAGAAATAACAGGATTAAGCAGTATATCCATGGCTGGAGAAATGGTGTAGGAAGGAGGGAGTACAAGCAGGACAGATAGGCTACATCTGGGCAGGGCTAGGACCAATGTCTGGGGTAGGGGTGTATCTGCTAATGCTCTTTAGGAGGGTTTAAACTAGAATGGCAGGGGGTGGGAACCTGAGCAGGGAGACGGAGGAAGTTGAAACAAGGACTAAAACAAAAGACAGAAAAGTAAGAAAAAAAAGTGGAAGGCAGGAAAAAAAGAGCACAGCAAATGGGGCCATAGTGCAAAATAAAGCTAAGATAATTCTAAAGGCTGAGCATTAGCAATAAGGTGGATGAATTAGCAGCACAAATAGATATATCATCATGATACAGCATTATGGCTGCAGGGTGACTAAAAATGGGAACTCAACATCCAAGAGTATTCATTATTTAGGAAGGACAGCTAGAAAGGCAAACGAATAAAACAAAACTGCTGATACTGGAAATCTGAAACCAAAACAGAAATTGCCAGAGAAACTCAGCGGGTCTGGCAACATTTGTGGGGAGAAAACAGAGTTAACGTTGAGACCAGTGACCCTTCTTCAGAACTGGCTGAAGAGGTGGCACTGGATTCGAAATGTTAACTGTTTTCTCTCCACAGAAAGGGAAAGGAGGTGGGGTATGGTTGTCAGCAAAGGAGTAATCAATGCAATAGTGAGGAAAGCTATTGTCTTGGAAAATCATGATATGAAAACAGTATGGGTGGAGATAGGAACACCAAAAAGGCAAAAAATATTGGGAATTGTCTACAGGCCCCCAAACAGTTGAGGAGATTTAAGGGAAGGTATTAAACAAAATGCATGCAATAAGGGTACAATGTAATCATTGGTGATTTTTAGTTTGCATATAGATTGGACAAACCAAACTAGCAATGATATTGCAGAGGAAGAAAATATGATTGTTTTTATATCAATACATCAACTAACCAACCAGAGAACAGGCCATTCTATACTGGGTACTGTGCAATGAAAAAGGATTAATTAACAAATAATGGATCTACTGAACAAGGAAATGGTAATGCTATTCAAGAACAGTTCTATCAGGCTTTAGATGATATCTTAGATGAAGAGAGTTCTTTCCTCCAGACATGCATTCTTTTCCTGATTGAGTAGTGAACTGTAGTCTTATGCTACTTACGAGAGGTTTTGTAAAGTGAAACGGTTTCTTTCTGGGGGTTCTTAACTGGAAGGCACAGATTAAAGATCACGATCAAAAGGGGAAATTGGGATTTTTGTTTCCCCAGAGAGTCGCTATGATCTGGAACGCATAGCTTTGAAGGAGTGTGGAAACACATTGATTTGTAATTTTCAAAAACGAATTGGAAATATACTTATAAAGGAAACATTTGCAAGGCTGCGGGGAAAGAGCCTGACGTAGGACGACACACAGATATGATGAGGCGAACGGTCTTTTTTCTCGGCTGATTAATTTTAAGCGTTGAGTTCATCGGCGTAATACAGGTCCGACATTGTATTTTTTTTCTCTGACCAGTTGGTGATCGTCACGTTTCATACGCCAGTTGTAATTAGTAGCAAGACAACCAGCGAAAGAGAAAAGCCAAAGCGTTCACAGGAAGATGCGCGGCCAGTTCAGTACTCAACATTTACCACGCTCAGCCTTGAAGTCTAGAAACTGAGCAAACCTGGATTTCAGGTAATAACAATTGTGATCGTGACATAATGGGACTCGGCGAGAGTGCAGAGAAAAAAAGCCAGATAAATATACGATAACATTTACTTTTGAACAAGAATTCAGCACCACGGCTATTCAGGACAAGTTCGTCTTTGATGCACTGTATCATCGGAAACATGTGAATACCAGGTAGATCGTTATCGTATGAAGCGTCCTTTCCTCTTTGTGAATGTTGTTTTATAGCTCTACTATACAAATAGAGCAGATAGGGAAAAATGCCAAAACGGGCTCATCTTCGGGAAAATTGCTTAACTGCATGCCTTACTCGAATTGCGTTACTTTTGGGGGCTTGTCGGGTTGTCCTGTCACAGAGATTGAGTTTGTCTATAGAGGAGGGACAACCCCCGGAGACCATAGTGGGGGATATCAGCGTTGTATTCCCCGCTGAGACATCAACCGGTGGCTATTTCATTTCGGAAAGTGAAGAGTCGGTTGTTTTCAGTGATCTGAACGTTAATGTGGACAGCGGAATTATAAAGACAGCCAAAGTCCTGGACAGAGAGACGACAGATCGCTATGAGTTTGTAGCCGTGACTCTGACCGGGCAAATGGTCAAGGTGGAGATCGTGGTCACGGACATCAATGACCACAGTCCAGTTTTCCCGAGGGAGAAAGTCCAGCTCAATATCTCAGAACTAACTCCGAGCGGGACATGGTTTCAGCTGGACGAAGCCTGGGACCCGGACACGGAGAAGTTTAGCATTCAGGGCTATGCGATCACGCAGGGAAACCCGGGGATATTTCAACTTCGGTCCGAGAAAGCGTTCGAACATGTCGATCTTGTACTCGGCGGCCTCCTGGACCGGGAGACCAGGGACTTTTACTCGCTCACCGTGCAGGCTTTCGATGGGGACACTCCTCCGAGGACGGGCATGATGCAGCTGGACATCCGAGTGCTGGATGAGAACGACAACCCGCCCCACTTTAACCAGACCGAGTATGAAGCCTGGGTTTGGGAGGATGCGGCCCCGGGGACCCGGCTCATCCAGCTCCAGGCCAGCGACCCGGACCAAGGCAGTAACGGCTTCATCACGTACGAGATAGACCGCAGGCACAGCGACCCGGGCGGCCACTTCGCCATCGACAGCCGGAGCGGCGAGGTCCGGCTCCAGAAACCGCTCGACCGGGAGAGTCGGCCCCGGCACCAGCTGGTTATTCGAGCCCGGGACCACGGCTCCCCGACTGAACTGGGCAGCGCCTTCCTGTCGGTGCGGCTAATCGATGTCAACGACAACCGGCCGTCCATTAGCATCCTGTACCTGAGCCAGAGCGGCCGGGCCGAGGTGTCGGAGGGGGCGGCCATAGGGCAGCTGGTGGCCAGGGTGTCGGTTTGGGACCCGGACCTGGGCGAAGGCGGCGAGCTGCGGGTCTGGCTGCAGGACGAAGACGAAAACGAGGAGCTTAGCACCAGCTTCGAGCTGCGGGATTCCCCGCTCCGCTCCGTCTTCCTACTGCGTGTAAACGGCCACCTGGACCGCGAGCGCCGCCGCGCACACCACCTCACCGTGCGCGCCTCTGACTCCGCGCGCCCGCCGCTGAGATCCCAGCGGTCGCTCGAGCTGCGCGTCACCGACGTCAACGACAACGCTCCCGCCTTCGAGCGCGAGGTATACACAGCCCGCGTCCCCGAGGGCCCACTTCCCGCCGACGGGAGCACACTTCTACGGGTGCGCGCACAAGACCCGGATGCCGGCGCCAACGGCACGGTCAGGTACGCCATCTTGGAAGACGACGCTGGGGACCGGGAGGTGTCGCTTTTTGAGGTCGATCCGCTGACGGGCTTTATCAGCACCACTGCGTGCCTGGATCGGGAGACGCACGCGGTGATCCGTCTGTTGGTGGTGGCCCAGGATCTGGGTGAGCCGCCTCTCTCCTCCACCGCCAGCGTCTTGCTTCACGTCGAGGACGTGAACGACAACGAGCCGGTCTTCGAGCGAGAGCTCTACAGAGCGACCGTGCGGGAACACACGGAGCCCGGGACCTGCTTCCTTCAGGTGAGACCGATCTATACCGCGGGACAGGGATAAAGGGACCTCTAAACTGGGGAGCTGTCTTCAAATTTAATCCTAACCCCAGACCTTGACCTAACCCTAATTTTTGACTCATCCTTTCCTTGGCTTGATCCAAAAGAACAGAAGTAAGGAGCAGAATCATAGAGCTGTATAGCACGGAAACAGACCTTTCAGTCCAACTCGTCCATGCCGTCTAGATATCCTAAATTAATCCAGTCCCATTTGTGAGCATTTAGCCCATGTCCTTCTAAATCATTCATATTCGTGTACCCATCCAGATGCCTCTTAAATGTTGAAATTGTGACAACTTCCACCACTTCCTCAGGCAGCACGTTCTGTATGAAAAGGTTGCTCCTTCGGCACCTTTTAAATCTTTACCCTCTCACCTTAAAAATGTGCCCTCTAGTTTTGGACGCCCCTGTCCTGGGAAAATGACATTGGCTGTCCATGCCCTCATGATTTTATAAACCTCTGTAAGGTCACCCCTCGGCCTTTGACAGCCCAGGGAGAATAACCCCAGCCTATTCAGCCTCCCCCTATTGCTCAAACCTGCCAACCCCAACAACATCCTTGTAAATCTTTTCTGAACCCTTTCAATTTTAAAAACATCTTTCCTATAGAAGGGAGACCACAATTGAATGCAGTATTCCAAATGTCTAACCAATGTCCTGTACAACTGCAACATGACATCTCAACTCCTGTACTCGATGCACTGACCAATGAAAGCAAACATATAAAACATCTTTTTCACTATCCTGTCTACTGCATTCCAAGGTCTCTTTGTTCGGTAACACTTCCCAGGATGCTACCATTAAATGTATAAGTCCTGCACTGATCTGCTTTAAGAAAATGCAACACCTCACATTTATCTAAATTAAACTCCATCTGCCACCCCTCGGCCCATGGGCGCTTCTGATCAAGATCCCATTGTACTCTGAGGTAACCTCCTTCACTGTCCAATACATCACCAATTTTGGTGTCATCTGCAAACTTACTAACCATACTTCCTATATTCACATCCAAATCATTAATATTAATGACATAAAGCAGTGGACCCAGCAATGAGGTGCAGAGCTGGATGAACACAGCAGGCCAAGCAGCATCATAGGAGCAGAAAGGCTGACATTTCGGGCCTAGACCCTTCATCAGAAAAGGGGGAGGGGAAGGGGGTTCTGAAATAAATAGGGAGAGAGTGGGAGGCGGACAGAAGATGATAGAGGAGAGGATAGGTGGAGAGGAAACAAACAGGTCGAAGAGGCGGGGATGGAGCCAGTAAAGGTGAGTGTAGGTGGGGAGTTAGGGAGGGGATAGGTCAGTCCAGGGAGGACGGACAGCTCAAGGGGGCAAGATGAGGTTAGTAGGTAGGAGATGGGGGTGCGGCTTGAGGTGGGAGGAGGGGATAGGTGGGAGGAAGAACAGGTTAGAGAGGCGGGGACGAGCTGGACTGGTTTTGGGATGCGGTAGGGGGAGGGGAGATTTTGAAGCTTGTGACTTCCCACCCACGGCCTCCAACCTCATCGTTCCCCAACCCCGCACCGCCCGTTTCTATCTCCTTCCCAAAATCCACAAACCTGAATGCCCTGGTCGACCCATTGTCTCCGCCTGCTCCTGCCCCACCGAACTGATCTCCAACTATCTGGACTCCATTTTCTCCCCCTTGGTCCAGGAACTCCCTACCTATGTCCGTGACACCACCCACGCCCTCCACCTCCTCCAGAACTTCCAATTCCCCGGTCCCCAACACCGCATCTTTACCATGGACGTCCAGTCCCTATACACCTGCATTCCCCATACAGATGGCCTAAAGGCCCTCCACTTCTTCCTGTCCCGCAGGCCCGACCAGTCCCCCTCCACTGACACCCTCATCCGCTTAGCGGAACTCGTCCTCACCCTCAACAACTTCTCTTTCAATTCCTCCCACTTCCTACAGACAGAAGGGACAGCCATGGGTACCCGCATGGGCCCAAGCTATGCCTGCCTCTTTGTAGGTTACATGGAACAATCCCTCTTCCGTACCGACACTGGCCCTAAACCCCACCTCTTCCTCCATTACATCGATGACTGTATGGGCGCCACCTCGTGCTCCCACGAGGAGCTCGAACAGTTCATCCACTTCACCAACACCTTCCACCCCAACCTTAAGTTTACCTGGACCATCTCTAATACCTCTCTCTCCTTCCTGGACCTCTCTGTCTCCATCTCGGGCAACCACCTAGAAACCGATATTCATTTCAAGCCCACCGACTCCCACAGCTACCTAGAATACTCCTCCTCCCACCCATCTTCCTGCAAAAATGCCATCCCCTATTCCCAATTCCTTCACCTCCGCCTCATCTGCTCCCAGGATGAGGCATTCCACTCCCGTACATCTCAGTTGTCCTCGTTTTTCAAGGACCGTAACTACCCCCCTCAGTGGTCGAGAACGCCCTCAACAGTGTCTCCCACATCTCCCGCAACACCCTGTCCACGCAATAAGAACCAAAGAAGAATCCCCCTCGTCCTCACGTACCACCCCACCAACCTCCGGATCCAACGCATCATCCTCCGACACTTCCGCCATCTGCAATCCGACCCCACCACCAAAGACATTTTTCCCTCCCCACCCTTATCTGCTTTCCGAAGGGACCACTCTCTCCGTGACTCCCTTGTCCGCTCCACACTCCCCTCCAGCCCCACCACACCCGACACTTTTCCCTGCAACCGCAGGAAGTGCTACACCTGCCCCCATACATCCTCCCTCACCCCCATCCCAGGCCCCAAGAAGACTTTCCACATCAAGCAGATGTTCACCTGCACATCTGCCAGTGTGGTATACGGCATTCGCTGTACCCGTTGTGGCCTCCTGTACATTGGGGAAACCAAGCGGAGGCTCGGGGACCGCTTTGCAGAACACCTACGCTCGGTTCGCAATAAACAACTGCACCTCCCAGTCGCGAACCATTTCAACTCCCCCTCCCATTCCTCAGACGACATGTCCATCCTGGGCCTCCTGCAGTGCCACAATGATGCCACCCGAAGGTTGCAGGAACAGCAACTCATATTCCGCTTGGGAATCCTGCAGCCCAATGGTATCAATGTGGATTTCACAAGCTTCAAAATCTCCCCTCCCCCTACCGCATCCCAAAACCAGTCCAGCTCGTCCCCGCCTCTCTAACCTGTCCTTCCTCCCACCTATCCCCTCCTCCCACCTCAAGCCGCACCCCCATCTCCTACCTACTAACCTCATCCTGCCCGCTTGACCTGTCCGTCCTCCCTGGACTGACCTATCCCCTCCCTAACTCCCCACCTACACTCACCTTTACTGGCTCCATCCCCGCCTCTTCGACCTGTTTGTTTCCTCTCCACCTATCCTCTCCTTTATCCATCTTCTATCCGCCTCCCACTCTCTCCCTATTTATTTCAGAACCCCCTTCCCCTCCCCCTTTTCTGATGAAGGGTCTAGGCCCGAAATGTCAGCCTCTCTGCTCCTATGATGCTGCTTGGCCTGCTGTGTTCATCCAGCTCTGCACCTTGTTGTCTCGGATTCTCCAGCATCTGCAGTTCCTACCATCTCTGACCTAGCAATGATCCTTGATACTGCTGGTCGCAGATCTCCAGTCCAAAAAGCAACTGTCCTCCACCACTCTTTGTCTGTGATAGGGTACCTTGATCCTGCACTGTCACTTGATAAGATCTAATTGCGGCCTTAACTCCATTTTCCTGTTTAGCCCCAAAATGCCTAACACCCTGAGAGAAAACATCTTCTTTGCATCTATCCTGCCAATAACCAATGGAAACCTAAGTTTCAATGATTCAATAATCTCTCATCTTTCTAAACTGTGATGAGTATAGCCTGTGCTTTACCTAACTCTTCATTGACCTGTACTTGGCTTAACTCTAGTTATTGACATTATCTTTGCTCATGACTCTAACACACAGACACTGACCATTGCCTTGTCCTGGCTCTAATAAGCTGCAGTGTCCACATATGTTCACCTTTAGTGTGTGGGTTTAAACTGGTTTTTTGCCACTTTAGTAGTGTGATTTTGTTTAACGTAGTAAAATAGGAATTATTGTTGTTTGCTACAAATGTTTGTCAATGTGCTTTAAATTAGTACCACTGTTTGGATCTGCATAATGCCTTCAGTGAAGGAAAAAATATCCCAAGGCACCTCACAGAAATGAACTTGAATGCCAAGTGAGAAATGAGATATTAGTAGCGAGTGACAAAAATTTTGGCTTGAAGGAGGGGATTAAAGGAAGACTGGAAAGTGTAAGGCGAAGAGAATTCAAGAGTTTAGGACCTCGGGACGGTGGTGTTGTTGGTGGGATGAAGATGGTCCAGAGAATTTTGAAGGTAATGAAATTAACGAGCGAGGCAAGTTATGGAGGACTTAAATACAAGCTGAGTGAAAGTGGTTTTTACCTGCCTCGGATTTTGCTGCAACAAAGGATTGTTAGTCCATCAACACAAACTTTTGAGTAATTTAGGTTCCAGTGGAGAATTTATCAAAACATATATATTGAGTCATGTGTTGCCGTCAATAATCAATTCCTGGAGCCAAATAGTGATCTCATTTCCTGAGTTTAGGGAAATTAGTCCTTCTTTTCATCTGGAGAGGGAACACTCATCAGGAATCTGTAGCATTGTTTGTGTCTCTGCACAAGCGAATAAGGGATTTGTGTTGAACCACTTTACCAAGGATTACTATTGCCATGGTAATTCAAAAGTCTACCATTTGACAGCTGGGATTTGTTATAAGGAACCTGTGGGACAATCTTGCCAAATCCCCTGCCACTACCCAGGCACCCATGGGAAAGCAACTGATCCTATCAGCAAACTGAATTCCACGAGAAAATTAATAGACTGTGAAAGAGGCCCCTTGTGGAATCTTAGTACTCCCAGAGCCACAAATCTCACATTGAAAACACCTTTATTATAGGTGGGTTTCCTCTGGGTGCTCCGGTTTCCTCCTACAGTCCATAGATGTGCAGGTTAGGTG